GATGGTTGGTTGGTACTTATCCCCTTGAATGCTAGTTTTCCTTCATTTTTCCATTCCCAATTTTTCCAAATTGCTCTCCTTCCTAAATCTGATGCCTTGCCTCCCTTTGTAGAAAAATGGCCAACTGTGACCGCTTGATTGAAGTGGAAGACATGATGCTGATGGGCCGCAAACCAGACCCCATGTGTGTCTTCACATACGTGCAGTCTCTCTACAACCATCTTCGGCGCTTTGAATGAATCCAGGAAGGCTGTGACTCTTAGAATGGGACTGCTCCACAGCTGCTTTTGTGCTAATGTTTGGTGCTGCTACACAGCTGCTTGCAACCCTACAGAGGGAAGTCCCAGGCCGCTGGACACAGCCACAAGCCGAAGAAAAAGAAAAGATAAAAACAGTCAAGGTTCCAGGGCAGCTAGAGCTCTTGCTGAAAAAATGATAGAAGGCCAGCAGTTCCTTCCTTGTTCTCTCTAGGCAGCTGTGAATAGAGATTCTTGTTCTAAGAATTTCCTTTTAACTATATGTGCAAGCTGATTTGACCAAATTGGCCTAGAGGGATAATTCAAGCATGATTTCCTCTCTTCCTCCCTGTCTTTCTTCTGTAGATGTCTCAAAAGTCTGCTATGTCTATCATTTGTGGGCAGCTATGCTATTAGTTGCTTTGTATTATATCCCCCTTCTTTTCCCTGATTCCATTTCCTTATGTTCTGGAATTCCTGGGATAGATTAATGCGGTGTGGATAGTTTGAAGGCTAATGTTCAAATTCTCCTGATCACAGAGGCTTCTTGCATACTTTTAGAACTCAGCTTCTTTCCAAAGGCTGCAGTATTGAAACCTGTTTTCCTTCAAACCAAATGACTTACTTGTACATTTTAAAAAAATGTTCTTGCAATACTGGAGTATATTAACCTGCATGATCATAACTGACACTTCACCAGAATTTGCTCCAGCATTACTTTTCCCCAATATCTGTTAATTTGTCACCCGAAAGCTGCATGCTGAATCCTGCTTTAGACCCACCTGAAACTGAGCTCAGTAAAAAAAAAAAAGGGCTCAATCAGGTGATGTTATCTGATACTGAAGCTGGTATTGGCAACCATGTGAGGGTTATCAGATTTAGCATTTGGGGGGAGGTTTAGAGAAAAGAAAGTCCACATGAAAGGTGCAGAGAGAGAGGCAACAAAAAGAGGGACAAATGAGGTAGAAAGGACACAAAAATGGTGCAGTGAGGCAATCTGGCTGGAGGAGAATTTATATATTATTTTTCCTAGTTAAGAGTATATTTTTAAGAAAACACTATTAAACCTTTATAGGTGTACGTTATGATGTAGTAAGAGGGGGCTCTGGGGGAGGCAATAATGAGAGTTGTGGGATGCATAATCCTGAGCCCTAACGTTGCTCGCTCCTGCAACAGAGCACGAATACTTACCCCAAATAGCTATGGTGATGCACAAGGACTGTGTTGAGAGGCTCTTATGGTCAGATTGTTGAAATTCTGCATAATACTTGCATACCTTAGTCTCCTGGTCTTGAAGGAATGAGGAGAATTTGCTCTTTATGATATACATCAAATTCCCAGGAGGTGATTGCCAGAAAGGAGACTGATTACAGCAAAAGCACCACTGAGTCCAAAATGTTTATCCAAAATATTTGAAGTAACTGGTGCCAGATACATCAGTCCTGGTGCATGCTGACTGAGAATTCTGGATGGTACCAAATTGGTAAGAGTCATTGTAGAAGCATTTGCTCTGGTATGTGGGAGAATTGTGCTCAGTAAAAGAAGGAAGAGGGTAAAATGGAGTTATGGTTCAGATTAACCTGGGCTGGGAAAAGTGTTTACATCCATCCATAAGAAATTATGCTGCACTTGACCACACCATTCAAGAAACAGCCAGCTAAGGTGTAGCACACTTCTAATCTCAAGTTTTGGGATTTGCTTTACATATCTTAAAGCTATTTTGAAAATGGTCTCAAGTATTACACAAGATTTTGCATGAAAGCAAGTTGCCTAGTATCAGCGTAAGCTGCTTTATATGATTGACCCTGCTGGCCACTCGTTTAAGAGTTAAATAATTAGTTCTGTACTCTGGGGAAATTAACTTTGTCTCAAACATCCTTTGGATTTGGGCTCAAACTCCTCTAAACCCATCCATTGACTAGACTAAGCTATTTACACAGAAGTTTAATTTCCTCTTGATCCAGTTAACTGTGTTGTATGATTAGGGACAGTGTGACCTGAACCTAGGGTCATGCAATTTTCTAAACACTAAATCCAGATTAACAATACCCATTTGCTGGGTTCACGTAGCATCTTTTGCATGAAGAAACCAAATTATGGTTTAGGTTGGTGGCCTGATTGACACAAAATGTAAGACAAGGGCCGGGACCCCGGAACATTTAATTCAGTTTCCTCTACCATATTCAATAATGTACGCTTGTGTATGTTTGGAGCGAGTAGATGTCATAAGTCATGACTTTATTCAACTGAAGAAAATAATATAAATTGGACATGACTGACAGATTATGGAATCTGCACCATTTGTATAATGCCAGTGGCTTATGCCCCATCATCCTGGTTTTTACAGACATCTGTGTAATCACAGCCATTTGGCTATCCTGAAGCAGCAGGAATAGGCATATGTGTGTTTTGGGGTGAATCAGTGCTTTTTTAGCTGTCTGTCCCACACAACTCTGCCACTACAGACTCCCATCAACTTCTTGCCAAGGTGTTTCCCTGCACAGCCAATAGCTTGCTCAGAGCGGTTTCTTGCCTTGGGGCTGTACAGATGGCCACTATAACTAAAACAAATAAAATAAAGGCAGCTTTGTGTTTGGTTCTTATTTTATTCTTAGGAACAGAATGCATGAATTTGTAACACATCATAATATGACAAAAGAATGGAGTCAGATAATGATAATGACGGCTGATCCTTCGTGAAAGGGAGTGTGAACAATGATTTATTAAATTTAATGTGGCCACCCATTCCAGTGGATTCCTAAAAGTGAGACATGCATGAAGAACACATTCCTACAGATATTTTAGGTATTAGGCTTCCTCCCACCAAATATAGCTTACATTATCTTTTCAGAAATAACAGTTTGGCTGGAGAAGGGGCAGCCCCTTGTTTGTATGCTAAGAATACCTGTTGCTACTGATTACAATATTTGGAAAGAAGAAAATGGCAAACCGTTTCTGAAAATGTTGCCTGGGAAAGCTAATGGATTTATTTATTCAAGTGCTTGTCAAAACTCGAGTGATGTGAAAGCCTTTTTCCCGTCCTCTAAAAGGAAAATGAGGCAATATATATAAAATAATGAAAAAAAATCTATTCTGACAGCTTTGTGTGTGGATGGAATCCTGTTGTTAAGGGATGGATGAGGTTTTTTTCAGGGTTTTCCACTTATTTTTGGCTTCACAGGATGGGAGTGGGTGGTAACGAGATTCAACCCTTCCACGATTTTCAGTGATGGGAATAATAGAAGTAATTTAATTAATTACTGTTAATTATGTAATTAATGTTGAGTTTTAAAAACACAGGAAAATCAATCTAACAATTGTTTATCGAGCTAAACGATGTTCTCCCTGACTGGAAAAGCCACCATCAACCTGCATTTTTCATTGTCTCTTTCATTGATAGAAGCACTAATCAGCCAAGCACCTGTTGGCCCAAAGTTCTCACCTTTGATAACTTGTTTCAAAGTACTGTGCGAACTAGGCTAATGGTGAATGCTGTCAGTCACCTGTTTGTCTGAAACTTAACCAGGTCACTTAAAGACACGCAATTACATTTACACAATATGCCAAAGCTGGTGACTGTTCACTTGATCTTGTTCTACAAACAGACACTTCGGTCTGTGTACAATTCAGTTAAGTGTACAAATATAAAATATGGATTAACCAAGTAACCAATCGCAGCGAAGTTTATTGGAAGTAAACATTTTTGGGAAAGTAATCTCTGAAAGAGAGGAGGCCCTATTATTCCTGACTGAAGATCGAGGAGAGGCCAAGATAGAATCACGCTTCAAAACTAAGGAAACTTCCAGCCTCCTCGACTCCAGAAGTGTCCCTCGTTTTCGGTCGTCCGGATTTTTGCAGCCAGGTGTGGCAGCCCTCCTTGCAAACCTCCTCGTCCTTCACATCAAAGGCGAGATCAGAGAAAACGATCCCTCGGCTTTCGGCGCTGCAGGGTTTGCTCCCGACACCACTTCATCTGCATATCCATAACTAATCTACCCACCCAGGGCTAAACCTTCGTGTTAAAATTGCTGCCGGCGGGACCAAGGGTTTGCTTATATAAGGATTTAACGCCGAGGTCTCCAAACTGGGCAACTTTAAGACTTGTGGACTTCAATGCTGGCTGGAGAATTCTGGGAGTTGAAGTCCACAAGTCTTAAAGTTGCCAAGTTTGGGGAGCCCGATTTAATGTATTCAAATATCTTGACCTGGCGCATCTTGTCCATTCATTCGTCTTTTAACCCGGAGCAGCAGCCAATCAGGGCCTCGTTCTACAGCGCCTGCCTCGTTGCCATTAGGAGGCGTCGCCCTATTCCCATGGAAACAGGTTTTGTTGTGCCTGCTTTTCCGCCTTCTTACGCCCCAATTCGAACTCGCGAACGGAGGAGCTGCAGTGGAGAGCACCGCCAAAGGGTGGGTAGCCAGGCTTGCATGGGACGGCCAACTCTGTTAATAATCGGGATAATGAATATAAACTTAAGATCCCCGTGTCCTCATGCACGTAAAGATTCGGAGCAGTTCCCTTCCTTTCTGGGGATTTTGCAAGAAAATGCTACAATACTGAACTTGGGGGAAAATGTATTGGAAGTCTCTCAAGTTCTTTAATTTCTAGCTTAAGGCAATGGTCTCCAGCCCTTCCTTGCTTATTTCCAGGGGATAGTTTCTCCCTCTTCGAGCTGATGTAAGGTTTTTATGTCTCTGACTAGATACATTTTTTAAAAAATGAGTTACTCAAAGTCTCAAACATACCGAATATTCCTTCCTCCTCCTGTTTTCCCCACAACAACAACCCTGTGAGGTGGATTGGGCTGAGAAAGTGATTAGCCCAAAGTACCCAGCCAGCCTTCGTGCCTAAGGTAGGACTAGAATTCATGGTTTATAACCGGGTGCCTTAACCACTAGACCAATTTTTTTAAAGTATTTGAATTTTTTTAAATATTCATTTTCTTTTCATGCATGTTTGGCCTTCTGAATATTTCCTATAACTTTCCAGTCAAGCAGGTTAAAAAACTGAGCAAAAATTTAGCATTCAAGGAATTTTGGATCTGAGGTGGCCACTGACTTTTCTGGATGAATCCATAGAAAGAGCAATTTGGCTGTATGATATCAAAAGGTCTTTAATTTTTCTAAGTACTGATCCTTGGAGGATGTCCTTCTGAGCAGAAAGAAGCAGGAATGGAATACATGAAATATTCAGAGGGTGGCCCTAGTTTGGCCTTTTAAATAAATCAAGAAGCAGTAAATGGGCTCAGTCTGTGAAGAATCCTGTCTCCTAGCTATGCTAGTGACCGTCAGTTATGATATTTTCCTCAGCTACTGTGTATTTTAAGTTTGGTATTTGTGATTGGGATTGCTTTTAGTGCATTTTAAGACTGTTCACCATTCAATCATTTATTGAGATGGACAGCTATAGTAGTGGAATAAATAAATACACAGACATGGAGAATGGTGAAGATATACATTTCATTGTAATAATTTTTGAAATATAACTATAGTCTTATTCCTTTAAGCTGAAGGGGAAGTTTTTTTAGGGAATGCACCTTTTTAAAAATCAACTTCCGTTTATTCTCCCCGCTGTTTACCTAGACCATTTTGTTATTGTTGTTGTTCTTTTCCAATTTTATTTTCAAATGTTATTTAACTCCTATTCCCTTCTCAGGATCTTCTGGATGCCATAATGGCCAAGTTGATACAAGCACCTCCTAAGTTTCTGCCCCCCGAATGGTACATTGCTAACAAGGTCCAATACAATAGCGCCGAGGCCCAGCGGTCTCGTTCAGAACGCTTGGTGGATGAGAGCCAGCGGCTGGTAGATGAAATCGAGAGAACCACTCAGAAGACCCAAAGTGATGTCAACAAGAGAATAGGTGATGGGTGCTTTTAATGCATTTATGTGGACGTATGTGAACATGACTCTGAAAGCAGGTAGATGAGTTTGCAATAAGATGCTTGAAGCAGGTCAATTAAAGATCAATTTGCTGTATTTGTACAACGTGCAAAGCTTTCTATTAAGTTTCATTATTGCCTTTGTTTGTGGTTGTAGTATATCTGAGGGGCCATCTCTAGCCAGTCGCATCTACCCGACCCACCAGAGTGGGGCGGAGGGGGGGCAAGGTTCCATCCCCTAGGGAGATACACCTGGTAGGACCCAGAAGGGCCTTCTCTGTGGTGGCTCCCTCTGTCTGGAACGTCATTCCCCCAGAGCTTATAATGGCCCCCTTTCTAATACTCTTCCGGAAGGCACTAAAGACCTGGTTCTGCTAGCAGGCCTGAGGAACACAGAGCAGGATGGAGCCATTAAATGGCTCGTGTGATGTGTTGCCGCCGGGGTGTGTGGGGTTATTTTATTGTGTGATTATTCTCTTTCATTAGTTTTATAATGAGGTTTTTATATTTCTGTAAGCCGCCTTGAGCCAGGATGTGCGAATAGGCAGCAATATAAATTTCCTTAAATAAATAAATATACACCCAGAAAACACAGATAGTCCTCAACTTACAACCAGAATTGGGACCAGAATTTCCAATTGCTGATAAACGAACTGTGCCTGATTTTATGACCTTTTGTGCCACAGTGAATCACTGCAGTTGTTAAGTGGATCATGCAGTCATTAAGTGAATATGGTGTCCCCATTGACTTTGCTTGTCAGAAGTCAGGTAAGATGTTTACAAATGGCAATCATATGGTCTCGGGATGCTGCAGCCATCGTAAATACTTACCAGATGCCAAGTGCCCACATTTTGATTGTGGGGATGCTGCTATGGCTGTAAGCGTGAGGACTGTTCATAAGTTTGATTCAAAGGGTAAGGGATTGCTGGGTAAGGACTGCAAGAGATGAGACAATGATGCCTTCATGTACAGGAGTGGATGGACCAAAAAAGAACCCTATTTGAGAGAGGTTGAGGGGCAAAATAGATACCTTAAGCATTAAAAAACAAAACGGGGAAATTGGCTTGATACTGGAACTTTCCAAAGGGCTTAAATGGGCACGGTAAATTTCTGTAAGACAAGGAGGTATCAATTTTGCCCTTGAACCATCCAACCTCACCCCAAAATAGAAAGTCTGGAAGGAGAGTAATTGGAGCTTGCTGTGCAACATCCTTAGAGGATGATTAAGTTGCAAGGTTCTTGTTTCTGTTGGATTGTCTTATGGTTCTGTTTTAATGTTACTGGTTTTATTGCTATGGTGGGCTACCCAGAATTGTTTCAGGTGGGTGACCATAGAAATCTTTTAAACGAATAATTAAAGAGATCTGGCCTTGTCCATGCTAGAATGGCTGTGGGATCCAGGGACTCTTGAAGGCTGCATGCTGGCTGGGATTGTCCATGCCTGCTGAAGGGATCTGTGGTGTATGTCTGCCACATTTATTTATATTTGTTTCTTCCTTCTGTTTCCAACATTTAAGAGCCGCAGAAGGCATGGGTGCTGGTCATTGTCCCATGATAATGATGCGATGGTGATTTTTTTTTTGTCCCTGGAGGGAAAGGGTTTAGAGGGTGTTTAAACTGGGGAAAAAAAACGTGTTAACATGCTCATTTGACAGTGTCAGTTTTTAAAAAGACAACTATATTATTCTGCTGGAGGGTGCCATTTGGTCAACACATTTTAGCAATGCAATGTTGGGCTGCAAAAATGGGCTTGGGGGGAAGTGCATGCAGGACTCTAGTTGTCCATCAGTCTTCTAAGTCAGGGGTACCCAAACTTGGCAACCTTAAGACTTGTGGACTTCAACTCCCAGAATTCTCCATCCAGCTATGATGGCTGGAGAATTCTGGGAGTTGGAGTCCACAAGTCTTAAACTTGCCTAATTTGGAGGCCTCTGTTTTAAACCAATGGGGAGCTCTTAAATATTGAGCTGTGAGATGATTGTGCAGATATTCATTCATTCATTTATTTATGGAAATTTATATTGCCGCCTATTCATACATGTTGACTCAAGGCGGTTTGCAAGAATATAAAAACCTCATCTATAAAATGATAAAACTAATAAAAGAGAATAATCATCTAATATAATAATATAATAAAATAACCCCCACTCCTTGCAATGTATGATGATTAACATGTCTAGCCAAGATGCTTAATCAGGTAAGGTAACAGCTGCATTCATAAAATATACAGCTTACAGTTTTAGAGGTTTGGGTCTCATTGTCCCATGCAAACCCAGGCTTTTTGGTTAGTTTATGGTTCAATATATTGCACAACCCCAGAAAAATGGGTTAATGCAATACTGTGTGAACTCAGCCCTGGAATTGATGGCATCATTCACTTGAGCTTCACCCACATGGTCTGTTATGGGGGGGTCATCGGATTCTCCTTTTGGTTGAAGTCCTGAGTTCTAGCTGCTGCTGGACTTCAATGCTGCTTTCCTCTACCTTGGGGTGATTGAGTATTCTCACTTCTGCAGAACAGAGACTTGAGGAGATAAAATTCTGGAGGCAGCAGTTGGATGACAAGCTTGACCAGATTGTAAAGGAGACTGAAGTGCTTTTGTCATTCAAAACAAGGCTGGAAAAGGCTCTGGAGGGCTGCAAAGAACCACTTTTCACTGCCCAGGAGTGTCTCTTAAACCGGTGAGAAGATTTTTTATTTTTATTTTTTTGGATTTAAGAGGCCACTTCAGTTTCTACTTGCTGGAGGCAGGCGGGATAAACTTGTCTGGATTAAGAAACTGTGTAATGTCATTGTGACTGGTTAGCTGGGAGAAAAGGTCTTGAGTCACTCATAGTAGCTGGCAGGAAAAAAATGTTATGAGAAATAACTGGAGACGTAGGAATATTTAGTCTAGAAAAGAGAATGGTCTTCTTCAAGTTTCTGAAAGGCTGTCATATAAAAGAAGGAGAAGGCTTGTTTGGCATTGTTCCTTGTGACCGGACAAGAAACAATAGGTTTAAATTAACTTCCTGAACTCTAACTTATTCACCAATGGAGCTGGCTGCAGTGTGAAGTGGAAAGTTCTCTTCTTCTGCATGGTCATCTGTCAAAGATGCTGTAGTACAGGGGTGTCACACTCAAGGCCCACGGGTCGAATCTGGCCTGTGGGGCAGTGGTGGAATTCAATTTTTTTTTTTTTACTACTGGCTCTGTGGGCGTGGCTTGGTAGGCGTGGCGTGGCTTCAGTGGGTGTGGCAGGGGAAGGATACTGCAAAATCTTCCATTCCCTCCCCACCCCACTAACCTGCTTTCCAGCTCTGTTCTCCTGTTCAGGGCAACAAAAGAAGACCCAGCTAATCAGCTGGGACTCGGGAGGCCGAGAATAGATGGGGGCGGGGCCAGTCAGAGGTGGCATTTGCCGGTTCTCCGAACTACTCAAAATTTCTGCTACTGGTTCTCCAGAACCTGTCAGAACTGGCTGAATGTCACCTCTGCTGTAGGGTGCTTAGATCAGGCCACCAGGACTGGCCTGGAAACAGTGAAGGACTGGCCCATGGTGCCTCTGCCAATGAAAGCAGAGCTTGGGAGGGTTTTCATTGGCAGAGGGTTGCAGGAGGCTGTCACAGCCGAAAATGGAGCTCGGGAGCCTGTTTTCACTGGCAGAGCACTCGGGCTACCAGAGGCACCCCTGACACAAGTGATGTCGAGCTGGCCGTGTCCACCCTGGCCACACACACACCCAACCCCCCCGAGGTCAAACAAAAACCCGATGTGGCCCTCAATGAAATTGAGTTTGACATTCCTGCTGTAGTAGATCTTGGAGTAGGGTTTAAACGCAGTGACCTCTAAGGTCACTTCTAACTCTGATTCTATTGATAAGTGACACGGGTAGTCCCTGACTTACAATAATTCATTTTCTGTAAGTTACAAAGTTCAAAGTTACAATGGCACTGAAAAAAAAGTGATTTATGACCATTTTTCACACCTACGACCATTGCAGCATAGCCCCATGGTCATGTGATCAAAATTTGGCAGCTGGCATGGATCTATGGCAGTTGCAGTGTCCCGGGGTCATGTGGTCACTTATTGGGACCTTCTGATGAGCATAATCAATGAGGAAGCCAAATTCACTTAACAACCATATTACTAAATTAACAACAGCAGGGATTCACTTACGAAGTGTGGTGAGAAAGCCCGTAAAATGAGGGAAAATTCACTTTAAAACTGTCTTGCTTAGTAGTAGAAATTTTGAGCTCAATTGTGGTCATAAGTCAAGGACTACCTGTAGTATATTTCAATTGGACATCAAATAAAATTTCATAATGACTCCTGGCAATAGAACAGACTGCCTCAGGAGAAGTTGGACTTCTACCCTGGACATGTTTAAGCAAACGCTAGCTGCCACCTGTGGGGAAGCTGAAGTAGTGGATTTCTGCAATGAGCAGCGAGGTGAAGGAAATGATCTCCAAGTTACCTTCTAAGCTGTGATGGTTCTATAGCTAAATAGTGGGATGGAGAAGATCTTGGCCTAACCCCTGGTATATATACTAGGTAGGGCTGAGAAAGCCCTTTCTAAATATTAGGGAGCTGTTGTAACCAATAGATGAATATTAAGCCAGATGGCTTGACTTAAGGCCTATGCCAGAGTAGTGTGCTTGAATCCATATATTATTTTTGCACAGCAAAACTGGCTACTTGTAGGTTTGCACCGTACAGGAAATCCTAAGCTACCCTCATAAACTGGGTTCGTATTACAGGTAGTCCTTGACCACAAGTGAGCCCAAAATTTCTGTTGTTAAGCAAGACAGATGTTAAGTGAGTTGTTACCCATTTTATGACCTTTATTAGCAACTGGGGCAAGAAAGTTTGTAAAAGGGGACGAAAATCACTTAACACCTGGCTCACTAAGCAAAAGAAATTTTGGCTCAGTTGTGGTAGTAACTTGAGGATTACCTGCATTACACGTGTGATGTGCGCTTTGCATTGATTTCCAGTAGGCTTTTGGATACAATTCCAAGTGTTGATACTGACCTAAAAAGCTATCTATCTTCTTGGGGCCGGGGGAGTGTTATGTTGTAAGTTCTTCCCTCAAAACAAATTTGGGGGAAAGTGATAAATTTGTGTCTTTGGTGAAAGAATTCTTCTTTTGAAGCAGCCTCCCATCAGAGATTCAGGCAATGCATTTATTCTTACAGGAAAATTCTGAAAAAAGCTGTTCAGAAAAGCATTGATTGACATCTATTCATGCCTATTTATTTTAGTTCTGTTGTTGATGCTTTATATGAGTCTATTGGTTTTGAATTGTACTGATCTTTGTGCTATGGTAATGTGCTTAAATTTTAGTTGTGCACAGCTGTGAATCCTTGGGAAATATAGTGATATAAAAAAAATAATTACATAAATTCCTGCCCATATTACACTGATGCTGGTATGATAAAATTTAGGCTATAGTGGTTGAGATGTTTTAAAATTTATTTTCTGTCCTATGTGCCTTTATTTTATTTGTATTTATTTGTGAATTTTATTTGCCACTTATCTCACCATGGGGCTACTTTAGGCAGCTTATAACAATAAAATGTAGAGAAAAAAAATGAGACATGCTTCATTATTTGACAAACATTGATACAGTCCCGGAGTCAGGATTTCCTGATATGCCAGAGGGAAAAAAAACACAAAATAATTTTTGTTTTTGTTTCAGAGAAAGGCGGGTTGGTATTGACTTGGTCCATGATGAAGTGGAACGGGAGCTGATCAAGGAAGTTGAGGTCTTCCAGGGAGTTGTTGCTCTGCTTGAACGTACACGGGAGCAAACTGATGAGCAACTCAGGTATAGGAAAAGCAAAATTCTGAGGCAGGAAGGAAGAAAAGAGAAAACTGTGTAGATTCTGGAGATGATATGGGTAATAGGGAAGAGCCTAAAGTGAGGTGCATTATGAACTAAGGCTATGAACCACAGAGTCAAGGGAGATGGGGTGGGTGGGTGTGGGGAGACCAACATATGGATGCATTTGGTGTTAAGACTATAGCTTAATGGTATAGTAACAGTAGCTATTCTGCATGTAAAATTTCTGAGGTACAAATGAGCAAAGTTTTCACCTCATTTCCAAACAATGAAATTGGGTGGACCGCGCATTGACAATGTCAGGCGCAAAGAATCAGGACCATTAGTAAGGTTGCAGCATAAACCATTTACTGAAGCCTATATACAACAATCTGGTCAAGTAACAGCACTAAATTGGTGTTAGATAAGGGCTAACAGAATTCAAGGGAGGATGGGCTTGGATCTCTTGTGGCAATGCAAGGACTCTAAACTGATGACGCATTTAACTTTGCCCTCCAGCTTTGCCTGCTCCTCTCCTAGAGACACATGTAGGAGGAAGGTGAGCTGGTCTCTTCTGAGCAAAAATTATGAGAGAAAAAAAGGCTTCCTTGCAAGACTGGTGTTCTGTTCCATGGGGTTTGTGATATGCACAATACTGCATTATCCACTGTGCTGTATTAAGTCCTTTGATACATGTGTAAACTGCATTTTAGGACTGTATGGCTGGGCAACTTTTTATTTATTCTCTTCTCAAAAACTGTTTTTCCTCTTCCAGGCTTAATCGCACAGCCAAATACAATCTTGAACAGGACCTGAAGGATAAATTCACAGCCTTGACAATTGACAACTATTGCTCCAATCTGACCAACAACTCTACTGATATTGGATATGCCCAAAATGTTGTGAAGGTTGAGAAGTAAGTATCACATGGGGAACCAAGCGGGTGAACCAGGAAAACTTGTCATTGGGACACATTGGCTTTTCTGTAACCATGGTACATTTCAACAAAGGCCATATTGGAAAGGACCTGGGTAGTAGATGGTGCCACAGGGGAGAATAGCAAGAGGGAACTTCATTTGGTTTCATGTTCCACCTGTGTCTATGTAGAGTCATCCAAGTCATGGTGGTCCCAAAGGTGCTTTTTCAAAAGGCAACTGGACTTTGTTTTTCCTTGAGGATGTTTTGCTTTTCATCCAAGCTTCTTCAGAACTGCTACACCAATCCATCTTTTTCCTCTCATAGAGCTATAACATCATATTATATTATTTTCTTTGTATTTGATGACAGGACTTTGATCGCACATATAATGTGATTTTTATATACCCACCCTGTGGACATCCTTGATCATGATTCTTGCCTCCAAGATTTGAACATTTCACGATGATTCCCATCCTTTTCCTGGACTCTGAACACTTAGGGGTTTCCATGTAGGAATCACCTTTTGTCTCTTGTTTTTGGACAGCTCAGTGAGCCCTGAACAATGGACGGATTTCTCCAACACCAATGTTGAAAAAGCAGACAAACAGCGAAACAATTCCCTGGCCCTCAGAGCCTTGATTGACAGCATTTTGTCCCAGACTGCCAGTGACATGCGCAAGCAAAACAGGACAGTAAACATTGCATTCCAGAATAGAGTGAAGGAGACCAAGGATGTCAAGAACAAATTAGAAATTCACCTGGCAAAGGTAAATATTGGAGGGGTACCCAATTTTGGGATGGGGAGTAAAAAAAGAGGGAAGGAAAGAAATACAACTTCATCCTAGTCATAAGATTTTATTTGCATCTAGCCATCGTGTGCTGAATTGAGTTGTAACTTTTATAATATGGTGCCGGGTCTGCTAAAATCTGGAGCATTGCTCATACCTGAGCAATGACCACATTTACACACGACCACAAAACTCTGACTCAAAGAGTCATCTTACCAGGCTTCCAAACAATAATGCTAAGACTTCAGAAAGGAAGCAGCTACAGCTGTTTTCTGCCATTTTAAGAATTACTATAATCCTTTAAAATTTTCACAGGTGTAAAATTGTGATAGCCTTCTGATACAGGTAGCCCTTGATTTACTTGGGACTTACAATTGGGATCAGAATTTGCTATGTGGTGTGGTTGTTAAATGTGTCTGCCAGGATTCCGGCAGTTACTCCAATTAAATCATGAGCCTCGAGCCACACTCCCAAAACTAATAAAAGATTTATTTGAAGATAACATTCTACATCTGGCATTTACCTGGGCGCAGCCAACTCTGATATACATAATTCACTGTCACCCTTAATCCTGCTTTTCCCCCCACCCCTCTGGGTGTATCATCCAATGAAAAAACATCCATAGCCAAGATCAGTCATACTCTCCAATTAGACTTTTGCTCGGCAGAAGCTTCAGTCAACTTATCAGTGTTCGAAGAAAATATGAATGGAATGTACTTTCGATTTCACGCTACCGCCTGCTCTTGGAAACTCCCCCCCCTTCTTTCTGTTGTCATAAAACATGTATACAAAATGTTTTATGAGTTGGCAGCGTCATCACATGACCATGCCCAATTTTCCCATCTTTTTTGTTGCAGGCATTAAATGAATTGTATGGTTGTTAAGTGAATCCAGCTTCGCCTCATTGACTTTGTTTGTTGAAAGCTGGCTGGGAAGGTGATCAAATGGTGATTGTGTGACCCTGGGATGCTGTAACCATCATAAATATATGACAGTTGCCAAGTGCCCAAATTATGTCACACGTGACTGTAGTGATGCTGCAGCAGTCATAAGTGTAAAGACAGTCATAATTCATTTTTCAACACTGTCATAACTTTGAACAGTCATTAAACAAATGATTGTAAATCAAGGACCACTTATGCTCCCCAGAACACCTGAGAGAAACCTTGAAAATTGTTATCTGTCGTTCTCCCCACACCTTCACAGTATTATTCATTTACTTACAGCAAATGCAAAGGTACCAGTCTTTGATGGGAGTTTTCTTATTTTAACATTTGGCACCTCCAGAAGATTTGAGAAAACCCTTCATAGGAACTGATTAAGCAACATTCAGTTGCAGATCAGGAAATTGTCTTTTATTTGTAGTCCTATATATGCCCAATCCTGAGCCTTCTATGGAAAGAAGACCATTCCATGGTTGTCAGGCACCATTTGGTTTCAATATTGTTCTGAACCACTTAAATAAATCTCAGGATTAACACCTGTTCAGAATATTGGGCAGAAAACCTGCTTCCCAACTGAGCTGCAGCAGTCCTGGATTCCTACAGGCAGAGTATGAAGAGTGTCTCTGCAAGCATTTCCTGCTCAGCAACCCCTCCTCTGACTCATCTTCCTTAAGTCTTTAAGAATCAAGGACTGAGTCTGTGTAATATGTTTGATTTGGTTACTGGATTATGGTGATTCTCTGAGTTTGCAGTCCATTAAATCACAAGCTAACCAAGAACACTCTATTCACACAGAATGCAAACCTACAAAATCTAACCCCCCTCACCCAAACAGTTTAAAAAGAATACATTAGAAAATGAACTAAGCTCATCATCATATAACTGTGATGGTGATGGTGAACCTATAGCACATGTGCCAGAGATGGCATGCAAAGCCCTCTCAGTGGGCACACACACCGTCGGCAGATGGAGTGCTGGTCTTCATGGGCGCCAGAATGCCGGAAAACACCTGAAAATCGGCCTGACAACGGCTCCCCAAATAGCCAAAAAACAGGCATGTGTGCACCAGCCAGCTGGTCTTCGGTTTTCTGACATTCCGGTACGCCTTTGCACATGCATGCACGTGCATTCTGGTTTGGGCACTCGGTGCCGAAAAGGTTCGCCATCACTGTCCTATTATATGGGCAGCCATTAGACTTTCAAGAGTTCCAATTGCTTAGTATGAACACAGCTGAAATATGTTCCTCCCTTTGTTCTGTGTGTATTTAAAGCTGATGGATGAGATCAACTCTCAGACAAAAAATATTGATGCTTTGAAGAAAGCTATCCAGGATAAGAAGGGGCCAGCCAAGGTGGCCCAAACTCGCCTGGAGACCCGGACTCACCGTCCAAATGTAGAGCTTTGCCGAGACACGGTGCAGTATCGACTCATGAATGAAGTGCAGGAAATCAACCATAATATCCAGAGGCAAGTACAACCCAGAAGCCACAGGGTTTAGTTTAATCTGGGGTTATCTCAGGAAGTTAGTACTTTCTGGGGTGAGGGAGGAGCAGGAAAGAGTGTGTGAGATCCCTGTTCTGCAAAACCTGTATGTGTGGTGGATCATTTCATTTTGTGATGGATCCTTTGGCTGTTGGCCTGTCATTTGCCTTCATTCTAGACCAAATTCTCCCTCTTCTGGTCAAAGATTTAAATGGATTTGTGGAGTGACTTCACTTCAGTAGAAGTGAAGGTGGGATTCCTTCATGGGGGAGATCAGAGCAGCTTGTTGCTCTTCTATGGACAAAGAATTTAAATGGAGGGAGTCTTTATTCTAAGGTATTATCAATATGACCTACAGCAGAATTAAACTCTAGCAAAGTGCATAGCATTCTGAATCCTAGGGAATGATTTTTCTCCTTAAGCTTCTCGTTCTGGCTCTAAATGGAAACTCAAGCAATGCTACTAGGAATCCCAGCAATCCAAATAAGACTGAGATTGAACAGGTGCTTCTAGCAGCTGACTTGGGAGGCATTTGCCTGCCGTTCTGGCAAGCAGGAATACATGACACACAAGAGCAGATGGATTACCATAAAGTTCTGTTCGTGTAACAAACTTATTGATGTTGGGTAAAGACTTGTTAACGTAGATATTTGCGGCTTGGCTTGTTGTCCAAACTTAGCCTATGGATTGGTTTATCATTCAGTTTATTGATGGATTGAGAAAATGGATCCATTTAGTAATCAGGTTAAGCATGTTGTGTAAATACATCAAGTGTCTTGATTTTATGGTGCTAGATTAAAATGTGGTTGGCTAGTTTGCAGCTTGTGACTACATTCATGCAATATGCTTAATTTGGTTACTCAATTAACCATTTTCTGGGCTTGCACATATTTTGAACAATAACTTTGTTAAGTAAGCTGGCTATGCAACCCCCATTAAATGACAAATTAACTAGGGCTTGTACACACATTTGCAATTGCTAGGTATCTAACCTCACTAATCACAGCAATCAAGACATTTGGCTTAGTTCTGTAAACAATGTTCCAGTAAACCATGCATTAATGTATTAATAGTTTGCAGTAAAAAAAATACTCTTTCCAGCTGTCTGGAAGCTATCTAGGTGAATGGAAAAGAACAGTCTGAAATTGAATCCTGGCAATTTGTTGTCAATACATGAGGTGCCCCGTTTTCACCAAATTCCTCTGATAGACAGTCAGAATCTCTCAGGGAACAGGTTCACAACTTAGGAGTGTTTCTAGACTTGGCTTTCTATTCAGCAAATAGAAATCATGGACAAGGAAATAACATCGCCACCCATTTGGATTACTGTAATGCATTCTACAGAGGGCTGCCCTCTTAAGAGAATATTTAGAAACTATATTTGGTCCAAAATGTAGCAGCCTGCATCTTTTATGTCTTGATGCCCAGGCACCTTCAGGACCAGCTACTCCCATCATCACCCTAACGAGTTCACTCTACCAGGAAGAAACTATTGCAAATCCCACACCTTTGAGAGCTTTGCAGGCACTTTTTTCTCCCACACCCTAGCTCAGAGTGGCAATGTACAATTGGGTACATTCTCTAAAGGTTGGTTTTCTCTAAACATCGATGGCTCCACAAATTCCCTCATCAGGAACTTCTTTTTTGTTCTTTCAAGGTTGCCAGAAGCTCCGTCTTCTGCAATGAGGTGTCAGCAATTGTTTAGGTCCACATGGTCACCCCCTGCCTGTTTTCCCTACAAGTTGGGAGGACAGGGATCCAAGGTAGCAAAAGACAACTGAGGCAGCAACCGTCTACTTCCTTGGATGCTGCAGACCAAGATAATCCCAGATAACAGAGCAAGGCAAATACCAAAGACTCCATCCCTTCAGAGTCAAGGTTACAGGAAATCCACGGAGTTCGTTCCCTGCAGGAGGTAATTTAGTGTCCATGAGACAGAAACGCTTGGAAACTAAACCTACTTTCTTTTCTGAGGATTAGAGTTGGACACCCATCTCTTATGACATACTGAAGTGGAAGCGGGGCCAGACCAGAGCATACAATCAGAAGATTGTCATGACTTGTTTGGGTGAAGCCCTGGAGAGGCTTGCTAAACTCTGGAAAAGTCGCGGCCTTCACCTTTTTCTTCTGTTCCTCCCTTAGGCTGATGGATACATTGGCTCAGGCTGAAAGAGAACTGAAAGGCCTAAACCGCCAGCAGCTCTCCCTGGAGGAAGAGATTGAAGTCAAAGCAAATACCCTTTATATTGATGAAGTGCTCTGCATGCAGATGAGAGAATCCATGTCCATCAATAATTTCTGATCCGTGAGGCAGGCAGAATCTCTGCTTGGCTGGACCCTACGAATAAATCTTGAGACATTGGCTTAAACTTTCAAAAAACTTTTTACAGAAGCCAAACATCTGCCCTGAACTTTCTAACAGATAAAATAAATTAGTGAAACCTTCATCCTAAGCTCTTGGAGGGTCCCTGTGACAGAGGACTAGGGTGAAAGTGATGGCTGGAAAGAAAACAAGCAGGACTTGAACTAATGTCTTTAGTGCGGACATAGTTTAAAAGGGGGAGTGCTGACACGTTGCTTTCCCAGGATTTGTCAATGTTCTTTCCTCTTCAGGCAGAAGACAGATTAAAAAAAGTTAACTTTTCAAATAGGCTAAGGTGGGGATGAGATGAAGGCTAGAGTCACCCACCCTAAGATCCTGACCCTGATTACCAATTGACAGCCCTATCCAGGTCACACAATCATTCATCCACTGAGACACAAGATCCAAAAGGATACCACAGGAGATGGGAGCGATCATAAATGTTGGTGGCTTCAACCAAATGATCACAGCTGCCATCTTGACTCTTCTCTCTCTCTCCCCCTCCTCCTCAAAGGATAATTCTGCATAATTCTGTGCAATGTTGTGTGACTCCTAATACTTGGGCTGATTTTTAAAATGTAAATATTGTGTAGGCGATGACTCCCATAGCTTATACAAGTAGTCTTCAACTTATGACCACCATTGGGACCAGAATTTTTGTTAACAAGGCAGTCATTCAGTGAGACAGACCTGATATTATGACCCTTTTTTCTAATGGTTTTTAAGTGAATCATGCAATCGTTAAGCAAATCCGGCTTACCCCGTTGGCTTTGTTTATTGGAAGCCAGCTGGGAAAGTCACCAGTGGAGACCATATGATCCTGGCACGGTTGTAAATACATGCCAGTTGCCAAGTGCCCGAATTTGGATCACGTGACTGTGGGGGATGCTGCAAAATCGTAAGTGTGAGGACTGTAAGTCACTTTTTTTTAAAGTTCTGGGTTCCACCAAACCTATATTTTCTTCCTGGGCCAACCAAGTTCTCTTCAAAGACCAACAAACTTTTCTTTCTTCTTGGAGAAATGCAAGATTTGCCCCTGATCTGCAGCGCTTCTGATTCAGCATTTTTTGGCATGTGCCATTCAGCTGCACCAAACCTCACCTGTCCTTTTTGCACTCCAAAGACTCTTGGTTTTAAACCCGCAAATGGTGCTTACGCTCAGTCTTGGTTGTGAACTGTAGCTCTTTTATTCTTAAAAAGGCAGATCAGGGTATTGCAAGGCATTTTACTGAACCCGATCCTGCTGGAACAAAAAGGGCCAGTTCAGCCGCCGAGAAAGGTCATTGTCCGTTATTTCCTTCTGGTGAGGTTTGCATGGATTCTCCTGCAGTACAAAATGGGGAAAGAGAATAAATATACTTTGGAACATGGCAGAGGGCAGCAGGGAACAACAGCTTTGGGGTGGGGAGGGGGAAAATCTCAGGGGAAAGGGAACCATTTCCTCCTTGGCTCTTAGGACAAACTCTCCCATGCACGGATTCATATTCCAAATACATGCACATTAAAGGTCTTAACCTCTGTGGTTTATATGTTTATTTAAGACCAGTGCTTGAGGTTGGTGCTGGGACCACTGCAGCCTGTCCCATTTGTCCACTTAACAGAATAACAGAGTTGGAAGAAAACTTCTAGTCCAAACCCCTGATCAAGTAGGAGACCTTGTATCGGGGTCTTCAACCTGCGGCTCTGGAGCCACATAAGGCACTTTTGGTCCTCTGCTGCGGCTTCCTGTCAGCTGATCCCACCACTGGCTGGCTTCGCCCCTTCCCTCCCCATCACTCCTCGCATGGCCTGAGAAGGTAAAGGTGATGGTGGGGAGATGAGACTCGTTCCATATTCCAGAGCAGGTGACTGGGTGGGAGTGAGTGACTTCCAGTTGGCCACGTCCACCCAGTCACACCGGTTGTTAAATTATTGGCTCCCAGTGTTTTCTGAGAGAAATGGGTCCAAATGGCTCTTTGAGTGTTTAAGGTTGTAGACCCCTGCCCTGTATAATTCCAGACAAGTGGCTGTCCAGATTCTTCTTAAAGCCCTCCAGTGATGGGGGCACCCACAATTTCTGGTTAATTGTCCTCTCTGTTTGGAAATTTATCCTCAATTCTAGGTTGCATCTCTCCTTGATTAGTTTTCTTAGCCCAGGATACCCTCCTATCATCTGGTACAACTGGAGCCTCCAGTGGAAGTATTTTGATGAGGAGCTTGGTTAAGTATAAATTCCATCCTGTCGCCACCACGGGGCCATTTTCAAACAGAGGGTGACCATAGGTGGCCCATATGCCTCCCCAAACTGCGGAACGAAACAGATGCTCCATCTCCCAGTCTTCAAGCAGCTGCTTTATTTGGAAGGAGACAAAGCTGGCTCCATAGGAGAACAAGGAGGTCTGGAGAGGCACAGAAGGAAAGCACCTGTTGAGAGGCCGGGGATGGAAGTCAATACGGCAACCCCATATACTTTTGAAATTCCTTGTTCCTAGAGAAACGAACGAGTTGCTTTCTTGGTTTTTCCTGAGTGATACCAGGACTGTTCTTTTAACTTTGGTTGATAAGAGTTTGCTTTTAAAAAACAACAACAGGCAACTCTTAAAACCTTGATTGGTAGCATTTTTCTTTTCTAATTAGGATTGGACTGAACAGGGCCAGACCGGATTAGTTCTTAGATGGGAAACTGCCAAGAAATACTAGTGTTGTACAGGTAGTACTTGACTTACGACCATAATTGAGTCTGCCAATTATGATAGTTAAGTCAGGTCACTCATAACTTGGGTCACCCATGTGACACAAGTCAATTGTACTACTTTCCTTATTAAGGGAATGTGGCGATTGGTGGCAAATGATCATTAAGCAAAGCCATTGTTTACTATGGCGCATTTTTGCCAGAAACTGGAAGTAAATGCAAAAATGTTGTAAATTGCAGTCTGCAAATAGCCATAGACATGGGCTGGTTGCTGAGCACCTGAAATGTCATGTGATCATGGAGTGGGGAGGCCATTGGAATTTCGGAATCGTGTTCTAAATATCTTTTGGGGCAGGGTCCTCATAACTCTGGTCATTAAGCAACAGGTAAAGACTATCTGTATGCCGGACTGTGAAATGTTAAAAAAATAATTCTGGCAACCATTTGGAGGCGGCTGTGAGGAAAACAACTCTATTCATGAATAGCAATAGCACTTAATCTTATATACTGCTTCATAGTGGTTTTCAGAACTCTCTATGAGTGATTGACAAATATCACCATATTGCCCCCCACAATATATGTCCTCATTTTTACTGACCTCAGAAAGATGACAGGCTGAGTCAATCTTGAGCCAGTCAGGATCAAACTCCTGGAAGTCAGCAGAATTAGCCTGCAACACTATAATCACTGAGCCACCAGGGAAGTTACCAAAAATTTCTCTTTAAAATAGTTACTAGAAGCAATTGGGAAGTGAAAGTCAAAGGGGAAATCACTCCCTACAATATCCATTTAATTCCGTTGTCCTTCCAGTGGTGGCAGAACAGAGAAGCAGCCGCTGCTGTCTCATTCTGAATCTCTAGCAGCACAGAAAGATGGCAAGTACTTGAGTGGAATAGAGCAGCCTTTTTGAACAGGTGGAGATACTTTCAACGTTTGTATGATGTTTCCCATTTAAGAAAAAGCATGAAGTGGTTTAAATAATGACGAGGGAGGGAAGGAGCGAACCAGAAATCATAACAGTACCTTCTTTTTTCAAAAATCGTGGGCTCCGTCGAATTGCTTGTAGAGAAACTGCCCGCAGACACTTTTTCTGAAATAGGAATGAAATCGGGATTTCACACGTGACCTGAGGACATTTCCGCTATTGTAGTCTTTCCTTTTTTTGAAATGTCCTTTTTAAAGGCATGATAGAGAAATTCAGTTTCTCTAAAAGCTCACTAAACTTGAATCATCTTTTTTCGGTCAATGTTTCTCTTCTCCCAACATTTTCTAAATGTTATTAGCCTGTTATGGCTAGGATTTCAGCTGTTTAGCAGAAAATGCCAGGGAGCTTCCCCAAGAGAAGGAGGTCCCACTGTGAATTCTCCCCTGCAGCAGCAGCTCTGGATAATACCCCCTCCTCCAAATGGCTCCCTTATTGCTACATTCCCACAGGCTTCACCTTCCTCACCTCATGCTTCTGTAGGACTGGGCTCGGAAGGAGGATGTTACACTGGGAACATGTGACCAGCTGGTCATACGGGTCATTGAGGGCCTGTGGTCCAGCGGAGGTCAGGATGGAGGTGAAGGCCTCGCAGCCAGATGCCTTTTTGCTTCTTGGAGACCTCAGAGATACTTTTTCGATAGAAGGCAATTCTCTGTCCCTCCTCTTGGGTCGCACATCCTTCTCGGCCTTCATCTTCCAAGTAGGGGAGGGAGGAGCTGGAGTTGGAGGGTTCTGTGGAGATGGAGGAGACCTTGATCTTGCAGCAGAATGGGTGGCGAGAGATCCCAGGAGCTGGGGAGATGAACTGCATTCGTTCTGTGGGTGAAATAAAGCAAAGGTTTCAAAGAAGGCTTGGTTAATGTAGGTTGAGCAGCTGTCATAAAAGTGGGCAAGATAACCCAGAAATTAATTGCCCCAACATTCAGAGACTAAGATATTTCTGGTAAAACGTCTTTCTCCTTTTCACCTAGTTGAGTGAGAATTTCCCTTTCTTCATATCCAGTCCCACATTTCCAGAATTGGCCCTGACAACAGGCCCACAACAAAGGCCAAAGCTCAGTGGTCTGCATCCAGGCAGTCCTGGGTTTGAACTTCAATATTCCAATTGGAGGGATAAAAGGTGAAGGGAATATTTTTCCCCTCTGCCCCAAACTTATTTCTCTAGTTTTTAAAGCTCTTTTATTAGTTAGCTTGATTAAAGGTTTGCATTTAAGTTTATTTCAATTGTTGTCTCTTTTGTTTTTCTGATTTTAATTTTTAATAATTTGAAATCTCCCTACAAGCCTTTAGTAATTGAGTCAATTGGAAACATCATCAATTAAAATCAGAAAGAAGGACAAACTAGACCTACATAGACCTAAGCGCTTTTGAAAACACATGTAACTTTGTTTGTATGTTTTCACTTCTTAACCACCCATTTCCCTCAGAGATCTTATTTCTTAGATTCACAGTTCTTGAATTCATTTATTGGGCACATATTATGAACCATAAATTACATATACTGAAGATGCTAGGCTATAAAGACGTTGAACAAGGTGAAAGCCAAGTGTTTTTCATATCCTGCAAATGTGGCTGCTTCCACTTTAACTGCTACAGTTAACATGAAAATACTAGCTAATATTTTCATAAAATTGCCTGTTCATCTTTGGCAGTAAAATTATCACCGCTGCTTTGGATACAAAGAGATCAATTGTTCAGAAGTGTGACTGGCAGCTCATGAGATAGATTATCATCTCCAACAAGTTCCACTCTTAACCATGACTCAAAAGAACACACCAAGGTTTGGAGTAACAATGCTGGTCTCTTGTGAGTCCACTGGTCACTATCAAAATTTCCAGATTTTTTTTATCACTGGCCACTTCCACTGCTACAAGAAGGCCAATTTTTGATGGCCAAAATTCTTACCAGATGGTGTAGATATTGATCTGCTGGAAACCAATTGTTACACTGCTGGCATAAATTTGTTTTGAAACCTAAAGGTGAGAAGTTAGAAGACAATAATCAGTCCTAACATTCTGATCAAAGAGCTGCAAAAAGATTTCAGAGTGGTTTGTGCCCCTTCCAACAGCCTTTGACTGGCCAAAGTCACCTAGACACAGATTTAGCAAGGGAAGATAATGAATGTATTAATTAATTAGTGAATTCATCCATCCATCC